TACACCAGGATCTGCAAGGAGTCCGTCACCACGCTTTCAGCGAACATGGTGGCAGGCCCACCGGGGGATTCGACGCTACATTAGTGGAGCCTCTATGCATGACCACTTAAGGGGGCACCGCTCTCCTCGTCCCTTTTCGGATCGAGCTGATGGTCATTGCATAAGCTCTCATTAATGTATTTGTTCGTTTGACCCCCAAGGATTGTGGAAAGGTGTATTCCATAGCGAAGCAGAGCGAAGCAAGGGAATTGTGTTTTCCACACCAGTTTTTTTAGTACCGGTATACCGAAACGGTACCGGTATACACTGCTCCTGCTTGTTGCTGACCACACGTGTCACTTCGTATTTGGAGAACAAGTAGCAAGCAGTCAAGAAATACTCGCCTCTCCTCGTCCCTTTTCGGATCGAGCTGATGGTCATTGCATAAGCTCTCATTAATGTATTTGTTCGTTTGACCCCCAAGGATTGTGGAAATCACGCTTTTACAAAGGACATCAAAATTTACTATTATGGATATCTATAGCACACTTCTAATAAGCGATGATTTTTACTTAGACGTAGGTGATTGTACTGGGGCGAGTACTTGCAGACGTTGCCCTTGGGGCCGGCACCGGCCTCTTCCGGCTCGCCGCCCGACGTGGTGCCGTCCGACCATGAGCACACGTTGATCTTCTTGCCCTTGATCTTGATGTTCTCGAGCGTGGCCTGGTCTCCCCAGTTCTCGTTCACAGTGACGACACTGACACGGCCGTCGACAGCGTATACGTTCTTGACGTTGACCTTGAGGCCCTTGTAGCCGCACGTGCCACACGAACGGTAGAGCTTACCGAAGTCCTCGACGTAGAACCCCTCGATGGACACGGTGCCGTAGCCATTGTGCTGGATGACCTTGTCCTGGGCCGAGCGTGCACCTCCACCGATGACCTTGGTCACGCTACCGGCCGACCCGCCCTTGATGCTCAGTGCGTCCTCGCACACGTCGTCCCACCACACATTCTCGATCGTGCAGCCACTCTGTTCGCAGTGCACACCTTCCATTTGGTCCTGGCCGATGATGACGTTCTTGAGGGTGCCACCGGGCTCGACGCGGAACACGGCGGTCTGCCAGCCGCTCTCACGCTGACCGGCGCACTTGACGTTCGAGCGCTGGAAGGTCTTCATCTTGCCGTCGTAAACTTCGCCTTTCTTGACGACGTAAGGTTCATCGAAAAACTCGTCGCCTTGGCTGGCAGGCCACGCTCCGGTGGGCATGGGGGCGGCCTCAGCGCGCATAGAAGCACCCGACGCAATGGTAGCAGTCGCGGCCAGTGCAGCCGTGACGAAGGTAAAAGTGTTGACCATGATAGACACTAGATAGACTGGAGGTCGGTTGTTTGGAGGCTGCAAAGAGTGCAGATTGAAAAATGAGTGACGAATGTGACTGCGTTGCAACAGCCCTCGCGTCTAGCGTAGCACAGCAATCTGCAAGCGACTGGAACTGCTGTAGCCAAGCCCAGGCAAAACAAGAGTCGCCGACGCAAATCCTGTCGTTGAGATCGATGTCGTCGAGTGCAGGCTCCGTGTTGCCAGATGCTAACGTGCTTACCCCGAGATCCTCGCCATCGGTAGAACGAATCGGTAGGACCGGTACATTGTTGTTGATGACCATTGCTGTTCTGCAAAAGCCTGTACAGTATGCCTGTGAGCCAGATGCCGGCTTTACGACAGCGCGATCCGGTGCGAAGACTCACATCGTCAACTAATCAGTGTCCGTAAGCAGTGCACCTTGTATTCGTAAGTATTGTAGGGAATTACAGCCACGGTGGTGCCTTCAATTATTCTGTATTCAAAGACTCGTGTCATTGAACTCAGTGCTACAATAGTTAGCGCAGTAACCTCGGCTGTACCTTGTCCGTGGCGCGTGCGTCGCTGCAACTTGCTGCAGTGCAAGAACCAAAGTGAATGCTGCGCCGATGTGCGCCAGGTGGCAACTATTAATACAGCTACAGTACCACCATAGTTCTCGTACGAATACAGTGGCGAGACAATCATAGCGGCAAACCGCATAAAGA